ATGCAGCGATACACAACACCCACTGGCCTATTTTAAAATATCACATTTCAAAAATATTCAAATTTTGCAACATGAGGAAGTAACAGTCACCATTTCCCATTCTGCACAGATGTACGGCCCTGGACGCAGGATGACTAACAGCCCTGTCTGATTGGCCAGGTTCAAGAAGTACTCAAGATCTCTGTCTCCTGCAAAGTTGAACACCCCCTGCACAGTCTCATGGAAGTTCCATGGCACATACCTGCATGAAAGCAAACAAAATATTTTTGGCAAGATGTGTAACATAAGTGTGTACACAGGGTTTGCACTGTTTCTCTGTTCCACGTACACCTGAATAGCATTGAGTCCAGTCATGTACATCTTGAGCAACCTGTCCTTCCAATATTCCCGAGGAATGCGGGAGTAGTGGATGCTTCCTGAGATGTACTGAAATGGTTTTCCATCCTTTTGGAAGCAGTTGTTCTTGTAGTCGATGGAAAATGAGCGCGAATCTGCCTTAAAACAGAAATGTCATGTCAAGAATCCACAAACTCTATTAACTATTCTCATTTTGATAGAGATTGCATTTACAATGAGCATAATTACAAAATAACAATAATAATAAAAATCCAAATTCACTATATACTTCTTAATTACTTTACCAGACTTAAAATCACACTTTTAAAAATGTCCTGATATTTCAAAGTTTCTATGACCATGGGAACCCAAGTATATAAATACAGTGTCGGGTTGGTAAAAACTAAATAATCACAATGTGTAGAGGTGAAAGTCGTGTACTTTAAATCAGATACTTACCAACACAAAAATTATTGCAAACAAGCACAGACTTAATAAAACGAAAGTCATTTGTGACTTCATCTCTAAATCAAACGGATAAGACGCAGTAACACTCTTCCGTTTGACATTATGATAGCAGCGCGTGACTGTAACGTGTCAGGAAATAATATTACAACTGCACAAACTGTTCTGTTATGTCATTTTGCATAAAGCGGTCCACTTTCTCTGTTCAATAGGTTTGCTGCGTTTCTTCTCTTTGAACATGACGGTCATGTGATTGTATTCTGTTTAGCCATGGGTCCTAAAGTCCGCCTGAACAGATCGACGATTCAGTGACCCCTTTTCATCAGCAATAAACCAGATTGTTAACTTGTTTTACTGTTTACTGTTACTGTTTTGCACTGCTAGTGAAGTGTATTAAAAATAAATAAATTATATGGCTAAACAGATGGACGAACCTATGCAATATAGCCAGAAATGCACACCTGTAACAAAACAGTAGCTCAGTGAACAAAACTTGTTGGAAGAGTTGTTTATTATAATTAATATTTTAAATAAATGTAATATCATATTGCTGTTGCTGCCCGTTCCTAAAAGCCATACAGTTTTTCTGTTGTGCCAAAAACAGACCAGCCTGACCAGACTGGGTCTGACACCAGCTAAGATCATCAGTTTAGGCTGGTTTAGTCTTTTTTGCAGCTGGGATAGCTTTAAGTTTTGTTTAATCATGTATGTTAGTTTGCTCGGATGAAGGGTCTAATTTCAAGTTATAACTTCAGACCAGAGTCAGTTTAGTTAGGTTCTCACCCACCAGGCTGGGGCCCACTGGGGGCCTCGGCAAACTTCTAACGGGGCATAAAACTAAAATGTTTTTTCCCCTCCTCAATAACTCTTTTGTTTATTAGGGAACATCCATAATTAGAATCTTGAATCTCCTAAAATCACAAAATTAATTATTATTAAATATTTTATTATGTTAACACTGCCTATTTCTGTTAATAAAAAAGTTTGGAATCAAGTATAATTGTCACATGAACGGCAGAAAAAAACAGGCCTTCACAATTTTGTTGGACAAAAGAGGGCCTATCATATCAAAAAGGTTGACGACCAGTGTTTTAATTACCATGTTGTGTTTTTTTAATTTTTGTTTTTACAAACAATAAAAGCATCTCAGGACTGAGCTTCTTAGATAATAAATTACCTTGGATGTACACTTTTGATTGTACATAGTTAAATGTCTTATAAACAGAGCTTCAATGGTTCGCCTCAGACACTCAGAGGCGCTACAGGATAGAAGACTGATGTTGCATTCGCTCATGTGCTCTTTAGCGCCCTCTAATGAGAGCCTGCGGACTCTAAACTTCCTATAGTCAGCAATCCCACATTTATGTTCTGTGAAATCTATCTCAAATGTAATACTAATGCTAATTTATGTTGTATATGTGGTGTTAGCACGTTATCAATGTAACTGTCACTAGAGTGACTTCTCCAGTGAATGGAAAAAAGGTTTCCATAGATTATACATACAAATGCAGCATAAATAAGATTTAGCCTACTCAGTTCAATATAAAGAGAAATGTATCCTTTATAACAACATTTGTCTGCACCAGGTAAATGTGTATTTCCTTCTGCCGCTTTAATGGGAGCAGGTGGGCTGGTGAAGTGACTTGTCACCAATTTTCACTTGTGCTGCATGATTGTGAATGTTTACTGCTGGTCCAGACACTCAAATAAACAGTGACTGATCCAATGGTGTTGTTGACACATACACCACACCACAGCCATTGTTTGACACCATCTGCTGAACACCATAAAGAGATACACTGCACAGAATGAAGAATTCAAAGACAATGCATAGAGTTTGTACTTCAAGGCAGATGCTGTCATTTAAAATAGCTTTACGGATTGCTCCCACGTTCCCATAAAGTGTGTACTGGAGGGTAAACGACCCCATGTGTGAGAAGAGCAAGTCTCTTTGGCTTTTAAAGGCATTCCTTTGAAAACCAAGCCTAATGCTGTTAGGCAGTAATGCAGTCATTATCCAGCTGAGCTGAGTAAGCAAACACACATATCTTCTGTGTTACCTTAACGCACAACACACACACTCAGTCTGAACAGGGAACACTTATGTTTTCATGTGTTAAGATATTCGTCACTTAGTTTAATTAGTGAGCAAACTTCTAACGGGGCATAAAACTAAAATGTTTTTTCCCCTCCTCAATAACTCTTTTGTTTATTAGGGAACATCCATAATTAGAATCTTGAATCTCCTAAAATCACAAAATGAATTATTATTAAATATTTTATTATGTTAACACTGCCCTATTTCTGTTAAAAAGGCCTTCACAATTTTGTTGGACAAAAGAGGGCCTATCATATCAAAAAGGTTGACGACCAGTGTTTTAATTACCATGTTGTGTTTTTTTAATTTTTGTTTTTACAAACAATAAAAGCATCTCAGGACTGAGCTTCTTAGATAATAAATTACCTTGGATGTACACTTTTGATTGTACATAGTTAAATGTCTTATAAACAGAGCTTCAATGGTTCGCCTCAGACACTCAGAGGCGCTACAGGATAGAAGACTGATGTTGCATTCGCTCATGTGCTCTTTAGCGCCCTCTAATGAGAGCCTGCGGACTCTAAACTTCCTATAGTCAGCAATCCCACATTTATGTTCTGTGAAATCTATCTCAAATGTAATACTAATGCTAATTTATGTTGTATATGTGGTGTTAGCACGTTATCAATGTAACTGTCACTAGAGTGACTTCTCCAGTGAATGGAAAAAAGGTTTCCATAGATTATACATACAAATGCAGCATAAATAAGATTTAGCCTACTCAGTTCAATATAAAGAGAAATGTATCCTTTATAACAACATTTGTCTGCACCAGGTAAATGTGTATTTCCTTCTGCCGCTTTAATGGGAGCAGGTGGGCTGGTGAAGTGACTTGTCACCAATTTTCACTTGTGCTGCATGATTGTGAATGTTTACTGCTGGTCCAGACACTCAAATAAACAGTGACTGATCCAATGGTGTTGTTGACACATACACCACCACAGCCATTTTGTTTGACACCATC